ATCATGAAGAGGGTAGATGGATTGACAAGCTTTTTCTATGTCTTTGCCAATGCTGTCTGGGATCCTGAAAATAATCAAAGGTTTTCAGTATTAGATTTTCAAGTGATAATCAACTTCCTGATCAATATAATATATAAAGTTCAAATTATTCAGTATTTAATATTCTCAACAGTAGTCTATCCTACCTTCCCTCATAGACTTTAAGGTCAGAAGAGACCATTATGATCCTCTAGTCTGACCTCCTACACAACGCAGGCCACAGAATCTCACCCACCCACTACTATGAGTGAGTTAAGAACTGGAGTCTTTATAAAACTAGACATTGCTGAAGTCTGCAGAAAGATCTGTGTGTCATGCAGTCTTCTCACAAATTCTGTTTTTAGATTTACATAATCAAACAGTTTGGTGGATGTCATATGTGGTGCAGGTGGTAAGAGTATGTGTAGGGGGAACAGTATGATGCGCTTCCCATAATTTTGTTAAATATTTGGTTCCCCAACAAAAGTAGTTGTTGAGCCCTCAACCAGAAATGAAAATGACTGAGGCTCCTGTTAAATTGTTTTATAAGATAGTAAGTTATTAAATTAGCAAATATTAATTAGTACATCCAGATACTCTAGCAATCAGATTCTTCCCCTACTACTGCCCACAGACGTGCTTAAAAAAAAAAGCTAACAATGATAGTACTGTCCTCACAGAAATTTAAACTAGGTTAATACATGAATTGCTATTAAACCCTCTTTGTGACTCTGTAAACCAACACTTAAACTCAATTAAGCCAGAATAGAATGGCAAATGATTCCTAAGATAAAACTTGATTAATAACAATCAAGACGTACAGCTTATTAACAACTTCTTTCAGGTCATTAGTCTGCACCTCCCGTGTCATGATTTCCATCATCTTCTTGCGAATTTGGCGGACCTGCTGGTGCTGGGCATATGAGGTCTTGCGAATCTGGTTATTGCGCTTCTTGGTAAAACCTACGCAAAAGAGGCGCAGTAGATAGCCATCGGTAGTTTTGACATCAACATGGGCTTCAATCATTGTCTAGAAAAGAAGTTACAGAATACATTTGTCCCTTCTAACATCACTGAAAGACACCACAGTGAAAGTGTCAGACCTTCCTTAAAATACTCTAGTGTTGCTGTCACTTGACCCCAACATTAAGGTGCGAATAGTTAGCCCCTAAATTATAAATTCTACGTAATATTAAACTGCTATTGACACTTCCAATTCCTAAACACTGTTTGGGAGGACACTAACTGATGACACCAGCAGCACTTCTTACATCTGGCACCTTAATAATGAGCAGACTGAGTAAAGGAGAGATAATTCAGTTACACTAATAATAGCAGTGAGCACAAAGGTGTTGATTCTTATAATGCACCTCCTCTATCCCAGGTTGGGATTTTATACACCACCCTTGCTATTAGTGGGAAGTCTCTCCTTGCCAAGTGGTTTCCAAGTTGCCAATACCAGCTTTCCCTTCCAGCCCCTCTCTTTTTGTATTGGGACTTCTACTGAACACCCCAACTCTCTGCCTCATAAGCAGGGGCAACTTGGAGCCAGTAAAATCCTACCTTGCTTTTAGTCAACATCCATTATTTAGTTTTACAAGCACAGTAACATCCACCAATTAGAATAAAGACATTTTCTGTGGCTTCTTAAATTTGGGATGAGGATGATGTCTACATCCTGTATATTGAAAGTTTGTATTTAAGTGTAATCTGACAGCCTAGTAACTATGATACGTGCAACAAGGTGTTCTGTTTCCTTAAGGTGCCTTCCCAAACCCTGCCGTTCTCACTAATAACAGAGGTCTCAGGGATTTGCTTCAAATAATCATGGTGTAGCTGCCCCAGTGGAGCCAATGACAAACTAACTACAACAAATGTAAATAAGGCCTCAGAAATACGTTTTGCCTTTTAACAAAAAACAAAACAAAACAAAAAAAACTAGGCTTGAAGTCCATGTGCTCGAAGTATTGTGTACAATTTCTGCAACTGTGTGCCTCTGCAGGCAACAGAAATTGCTGCAGATGCTGGTCTTTAAAAATGTGACCCTTAAGCTTTATCTTATTGGTTTTCAAAAAGAAAAAATAAGCAAATACCAATCAATAATCAAATACAATACTGGCTGGTCTGATCAAGTCAAAGATGAGCCTGCAAACAGTATCAAAGATCAAGTTATTTCATCTCAATTTTTAGAGGCAGTTTACTGTCAAGGTAGTATTTTTGCAGCTTCACAGATACATATCATTACCACTTACCTGCCATTTTTTGACCATGGAACACATCTTGTCACGGGTGAGGTCCATTCCATGGAAGTTGGTCAGACAGTTTTTGCCCTGAACATCCTCTGTAATCAGCTTGAATTTACGGAAGGCAACTTCATCATTCTGCAGATCAGCAAGACTCACTTCAAACACACGGCCCTTAAGTCCATCAGAGGCAATTTCTATAAGTGTATGAAATAATATTTTTATTAAAAATTAAAAGGACTAGCTGATATGAATTTATAATATAGCGGACCTTCGCTAGAGCACGCATTGCTATAGTGCAGCTTCACATATAGCGTGGTTGCAGCGATGGATCCCAAAGTTAAATATTTAAATTGGGATCCATGGTAATATGGCCCCCGCAATAACACGGTACCAAGCATGGATCCCAAACCCCACGTTCTAGTGAGGAGACCACATTAGACTTGAACACAAATTCATGTAAGTTTAGATCTACAAAAATTTACTTTAACTTCAACAGTTGCAGAGACTTTTTTTTGTAATAAAGTTAGTCAATGAACTAGTAAAGCATCAATACACAGCAGTGAAAGACACCATGCTGTGCCCCATATTTAAAATTCAAAAAATAAATTCTATAGTCAGGCCTGAAGATTCAATCTAGATTCAGCCAACATTTTAAAAAAGGCATTTAGGTGTTGGTGCGCTCAGTGCTGCAATACCTTTAGAAACTGGAGTCAAAGTGTCTTGAGAAAAGTATACATATAAAAATGTAAGAACTAGGTTACTTTTTTAACATATATTAAAAAAACATACGCACATGCAAAATAAGAGCTAAAGACATAAATGATTAAGAAATGAAATTAGGGAGCAGAGCAAATTACAAGTCTCATTACATCTCTTAACAGCTATACCTCTGCCAATGCATGACTGACCTTGCAGTAGCTTCTCTATGTCCAGTTACCAGGGGACATTATTCCATGATCTGCTAGATTTCACTTTTATGAATCATAAGACGACCAAAGTTTTCCTTTCCTTAATTTCATTCCATTGCTCCTAATTATACCCATGCTAAATAATTCATGTCCTTCTTTGATATTTAAACCCCGTAACACATGTAAAGCTGGCCATGCTGCACACCTACATTTACATAATTCTGTTGCGCTTATCCAGATCCCATTGTTCATCTCTGAATAGTAGAGACTAAGGTTCCCTTACCTGAATATAGTATTCCAAGTTTGGTGTCACCTGATCATGTGAAAGATAACCAACTCCCTCTACTTAGGGGTGCCTCTGCACATACACTGCCCAAAAAATTAGTGGTTTTCACTACCCTATACAATGAAACCCCACATATAGAGATCTGCCCACTATGTCCTTCCCAAGATCTTTCTGCATCACTGCTTTCCAGATCTTCCTCTCCTATAAAAGATATTAATAATTTTTTGTCGTTTTCCCCATATGCTTTAAATAACTTTAAGTAATTTCCACCCCAGAATTCTAATCTTTATTGGGTCTTCCTTTGCATTTCAGTTCCACAGATTATCCAATAGCTTCCAATAGAGATCAGTTAGTTCATCTTGCATGGGCAAGAACCAAACCATATTCTGTATGTGTAACCCGATTCTGTCTACTGGAAACAAAAGCCTTAGTACTACCCAACAAACAGTGAGGTCAAAACACGTTTTTTTATGTCTATTTATCCTATAATATTGCAAATCACATTAGTTTAAGCAGGAACTGCTTAGAACTTATACTGCATTGCACGGTCTTAAAAAACAAAACAAATTAACAGATATGAAGCGTTACCACAACACATTAGATACTCACTGGTTCCTTGGGTCCTGGTGACGAGTGTCTTCCCAATGTTTCGGATATTAAACATTGCAGGTGCCTTGACATCGTACCAATCCTTCTTTGAGAAGGGATCGACCCTTAATTTACCAAAAAAAAATATTTCCACTCATTTTTTAGATTAAATCTGGCCTAAAATCTGGTCTCCTTCCTCCATATTTATCATGTATACTGTTGTACAGTTACCAAATACTTCAAATACCATAGGCGACTGCAATTTACGCATTCCCAAATTAGTGCAAACTTGTTTTCTTATTATCAGCATAAGCTTGCAAACACCAATAAGTGATACAAGCACTGGACCAACAAATAAGTAAACTGATCCATCCCAACGTGCTGCTCAGTGTTAGCCCTCTAGGCCCTGCACTTTCAGGGACAGTCAGAGACAAGGACCCAGCCCACAATATCTAACAGTTAGGCTCTGTCCCACCTGCACTGGGATGGCGCCGGAGCTGGGGACAAATCAGCAGCGAGCGGCAGGGGCAGCCAGAGACGGCTCCGCACAGCACGTGGGGCAGAGGCAGCCCGGCTCCCTAACTCCTATCTTCCCCCAAGAGTCGAGCCTGGTGCTGGGGTGGGGGGCTCCGTGCGGCCAGGCCCCGGCCCCCCACCTCGGGCAGGGGGATTCACAGCGGAGCAGGCTCCGCCCCCTGCCGCAGCGCCCCCGTCCCGTGCAGCGGGGGCCGCGCGCGCGCTCTACAACCCTCGCCCCAATCCCAGGTTTGGCCGCCGCCATGTCAACACCGCCACCGCCGCGCCTTGCGCCGGCCGCCTCAATCCGCCCGGCATCCGGCGCATCCTGCCGAGCCGCAGCCCAGCAGCCCCCGCGGCGGGGCCCCCGGCACCCCTCGCCCCTGACCGGCCTCGCTTACACTTTCTTCTTAGCGCCTTTCTTGCCGCCCTTGGTGAGGCGCTTGTTCTTGCCGACCGCCATGGTGCCGCCCTGGAGCCAAAGAGGCCGAAGCCCCCCAGCAACGCGAGATTATACGAGAGAGGTGAGTCTCACGCGAGAACTCCGCCTACCGACCTCTCGCGAGAAACTAGAGCGGAAGGGGCAGGGGCAACGCGGGAGAGATCAGCTTCCTCAAGTTCCTGGGGTGAACCAAATGGCGCGGTGGCGGGGGAGGCCAACGTGAAGGACAGAATGGGCTCACCCTAGTGATTCCTTACGACTGGGCGCTGGGGCCATTCTCCTGAGCCAGCTCCCATGGGCCCTGGCGTCGTGGCTACCGCGGGCTGCAGCCCCGCCGGTGCACGCCCCCCGGCGATGTAAAATACAGCTCTAGAGAGCGGGGGGGTGCCTTGATTTTTGCGCTGCGGCTGCCCCACCCGCCGCCGTGGGCGCTGCAAGCGCTGCTATGGGTTCGGGTGATTGTCCCCGCTGCTGGAGCGCTCAGCCCCCACGCTGGCCTGGCCCCCTGCCCAGGAATGAATTCGGATCCCCACCCAATCCTCCAGCAGTTCTGAGTCCACAGCTGCCTCCCGCTCAGTTCTTTGTCTCCCCTCCCCGGCCCTGTTAAAACAACAAAGGTCACAAAAATCATAGGAGGGGGTGGGGATGGCGATGGGGCGGGAAAGGGAAGGGGCAGACGTACACAAGGTATCTATGACTGGCCGAGGTGGGAGGGAGGGAGGTTGGACACCAGCTACTGGTGAATCTGTACTGACTGTATAGGACAAAAAGAAAAGGAGTACTTGTGGCACCTTAGAGACTAACCAATTTATTTGAGCATAAGCTTTCGTGAGCTACAGCTCACTTCATCGGATGCATACTGTGGAAAGTGTAGAAGATCTTTTTATATACACACAAAGCATGAAAACATACCTCCTTCCACCCCACTCTCCTGCTGGTAATAGCTTATCTAAAGTAATCACTCTCCTTACAATAAGAAAAGGAGTTCTTGTGGCACCTTAGAGACTAACCAATTTATTTGAGCATGAGCTTTTGTGAGCTACAGCTCACTTCATCAGATGTATACCGTGGAAACTGCAGCAGACTTTATATACACACAGAGAATATGAAACAATACCTCCTCCCACCCCACTGTCCTGCGGACAGTGGGGTGGGAGGAGGTGTTGTTTCATGTTCTCTGTGTGTATGTGGAGTCTGCTGCAGTTTCCACGGTGGGCGTCTGATGGGGTGGGCTGTGGCTCACGGGGGCTCGTGCTCAAATGGATTGGTTGGTCTCTGGGGTGCCGCGGGTGCTCCTTTTCTTTTTGCGGGTGCAGACTGGCACGGCTGTTCCTCTGGGGCCTCTCCTTACAATGTGTATGATAATCAAGTTGGGCCATTTCCAGCCCAAATCCAGGTTTTCTCACCCCCCGGGTGATTATCATACACATTGTGGGGAGGGGTTTCGGAGGAGCAGCCGTGTTGGTCTGTGTTCGCAGGGGGAGGGGGAGTTCTTGTGGCACCTTGGAGACTGGCCAGTTTGTTTGAGCGTGGGCTTTCGTGGGCTGCAGCTCACTTCATCGGATGTGTGCCGTGGAGGCTGCGGCAGACTTTGTGTACGCACGGAGAGTGTGGGACGGTGCCTCCTCCCGCCCCACTGTCCTGCTGGTAATAGCCAGGACAGTGGGGTGGGAGGAGGTATTGTTTCATATTCTCTGTGTGTATATAAAGTCTGCTGCAGTTTCCACGGTATACATCTGATGAAGTGAGCTGTAGCTCACGAAAGCTCATGCTCAAATAAATTGGTTAGTCTCTAAGGTGCCACAAGAACTCCTTTTCTTATTGTAAGGAGAGTGATTACTTTAGATAAGCTATTACCAGCAGGAGAGTGGGGTGGAAGGAGGTATGTTTTCATGCTTTGTGTGTATATAAAAAGATCTTCTACACTTTCCACAGTATGCATCCGATGAAGTGAGCTGTAGCTCACGAAAGCTTATGCTCAAATAAATTGGTTAGTCTCTAAGGTGCCACAAGTACTCCTTTTCTTTTTGCGAATACAGACTAACACGGCTGTTCCTCTGAAACCTGTATAGGACAAGACATTCATGTTTAACACATGGCCGGGCCAGATTAAGACTGCCTGGGCCCCTAGGCACATCCCCATATTGGACCCTTTCCCCCAGGGCAGGGGCCACCCACACAACAGCCATTCCTGGCAGGGGGCTTCCCCCTTCCACAGACCTCTTCCGTCTTTCATGCAGCTGGTTTCTGCCCCAGAAAGGTGGACGGAGATGCCACCAATTTAAGTAAAGGATTTGGGGGTCAGAGGAATGGCAGTAGTGGGACTCCCCACTGCTGCCATTCCTCTGAGGTGGCAGATGAAAAGAATCACCTGTCCCCCCAATCCTTTGTTTAGATTGTTGGGGTGGGAGCAGTGGTGGCCTCCTTGCACATCAGGTTTCAGAGTTAAGAACCCATGGAGATGCAAAGGGCAGTTCACACCTCTTAAAGCTATTTTATCAGGCTTTCTACAATTGCTGTATATAATACACTCAGTTCATACTTCCAAGCTTGTCTTCACAACCATGACAGCTAGAAACATTTTAAATGAAAGATTAGATCACATGGCCCCAGAAGCTTTGGTGCACATATCTATGCCTTAGCCTGACTTGGGCAACACTTCAACATATTTCTTTTCATAGTATAAAAATTATGCATTTTTATTACTAGGTAAGTTCTTGCGCACAGTTGTTGCTGTAATGCAGGACAAAGAAAACCCAATATTGACTTGATACTGATCTTTGGTCACCAAATAAAGGCCAGACTTTTAAATCGCCAGTTGTCATGGTATGTAGTATATAGGATTGTTTCAGAAAAGATAATCTCCATCTATGCTAGCCTAGTGGGACCCAAATCAAGCCCCCAGATATGAGCACCCACTATTCCAGTCCACAGACACAGAAAGCCTTGTTAAATACAGTTGTTGCAAGCAAGTAGAGTTTGAACTGCCATGAGCAAGATGTTCAAGCTGTGTTTCTCAGTAATTTACTTTCTCATTTACAAACTGTATTAGGACAACAGCATGTTTTTATTGCTTCACCATTATTTCCACCCCCACCAGGAATCACACACACACACACACAAAAAAAAAAAAAAAAAAAAAAATCACTGGATTTCACCACCACCCCACCCAGAAGGCCAGAGAATATAGTCAGACAAGAAAGAGATGCAGGGGGCTCTCATCTTCATTTCCCTCGGGGATCAGTCTAAAATTAGGGAAATCTTCATTCTTCTCCCCTGAAAGACGGGGCACCAGTGTCCAACAAGGGAATCTGCGCTTTTCCTTGAGGTGGGGGAAGAGGAAGGTAGCTGGGAAGCCATACAGCAAGTATCTTTTTTCTTGTTCCCAGCAGAAAAGCTAGCTAGATCTCCAGCTCAGTGGTTCTTTTCTGCTCATGTGTTACTGATTGATGCTTCCCTAGTGCAGCCTGAGGTAACTTTAAACTCCCACTCACACAAATAAAGAACAATGCACAACTAGCCAAAATAAATTTCAGTCTTGGCCTCCATCCTGGGACTGTCGGCAGCTTTCTGCATCAAGTTCCAAAGATTATATTCACCTATCAAAAACTTCCTGCTCTCTCTTGCCTGCCCAGTATCTGCAAGAAGCCAGCATCCAAGTCTTGGCAAGACTTCTGCATATAACTTAAGTCTGTCTGCCTTGCATCCCCTTCCCCAAATGGGATTGGAATCAATTTTTAAAGAAGGGGGCTCTGCAGAGAAACAAGTGACTCATAGGAGTGAAGAGGCAGTGGGAGCCCTGAGCAGGCCATCTGGAAAAGGAAATCCCAGTTGGCCTGATGCTGTCAGCCTCACATTATCGTTAATAGAGGCTCCGGTTCAGCTGAGTCACAATAGTACTTAGCGAAGACGTTACCTACGCCAACAGGAGAGCTTCTCCCGTTGGTGTAGGTCCTCTACCTCCCTGAGAGACAGATGCTATGTTGATGGGAGAAGCCCTCCCATCGACAGGATGATCTACACCAGGGGTATAAATACGCCGCTCAGGAGTGTGGATTTTCCACACCCCAAAGTGATGTAGATACCAACATAAGTCTGTAGTATAGACCACAACAGGAGTCAGAATTTCAACGGAGTACTCGTTGAACCCTGAGGCAGGAAGGAAGAATTGGATGGACAACGACAATGTATACCCAGTCTTTGACAGCTAAGAGCCTGCTACCCGCCCCCTGTCCCCCAACTTTTTTGGGGAAAGTCCATTTTATTTTATTACTTTAATATTGGCAAGTAGCTCATCAAAGGGAGCTTTATGGGAACCTAGATGAAACATATCCCATTTGCAGGTATCAACCAGAAACTGCAGGCAGATAGATAAGTGGGATTTTCTTGGAGCAGAAATAAATACTTATCTGCCACTAATTAATAAATTTCTTTAAACTCTAAGTTCTCAACTATTAATAGAAACCAACGAGTACAGAATTAAATGATATTTAATAATAGCCACTATGTACAAGAAGTTTACCTCTTATCACTATTCTCAATGTTCCTATCCAGGACTGAATACATTGCCTCCTTACCAGTATTTCAGTAGTCAACTCATAGGAAATCTATTATTGATGGGGCTTCTATAATTCAAAACTCTCTTCTTTTCTTTATTATACTTTCATCTGATCCATGAAAATTCATGCCAGCAGATGTTAGGTATCCAGTTGCAGTAAGTCCTGTGTTCTGCTTTAACTTATGCAGTCTACATAACACCACAGGGAAGAGTAAGCAAGGTCAGCCATATATAACTTTAATATTAAAGAGTCCATATATGCAATTGGTGATTTGTTAGAATTTCATCTGCCCTGCTGTTCCTCCCCCCAATACTAGAGATCTAGAGCGTCTGTGTATTTTTTCACTGCATGCATCCGATGAAGTGAGCTGTAGCTCACGAAAGCTTATGCTCAAATAAATTTGTTAGTTTCTAAGGTGCCACAAGTACTCCTTTTCTTTTTGTGTATTGAATATTTAGGCAGGTCCTGGTTTTGAACACACATCTTGGTGTCTTTTTGGGGGGATAAAACTAACTTTGTTCCC